TTTTTGATGCTTGTAGAAAGTAGGGTTGGACAAAACACCTGAATCGAGCGGGTCTTTGTAAGTTAAATATTGGAATGAGATATCTAGGTCGAGAACTGACGGGTTTGGATCGTTTCTCGATTTCAGACCAAGAAGCGAAGAACCAAATTTTTAAAATTTTTTTTAAAATTTTAAATAAACCAAATTATTTTATTTTTTTCTAAATAAATTTGTTAATTAATTGTTTTAGCCTAAACTCAAAAGGGAATAATACATGGTTCCTACATTTCAAAATTATCAAACTTATCAAATTATTTTAAGAATCAGGTGTTAATTTTAATTAATAATTTATTACTTTGTTTAGTGCACATTTTCCACATCATTAAAATGAGAAAACTGGGCCCCACATGTGAGGCAAGGTAAAAAATGACGGTTGAACTTTAAACTAACCGTAGAATATTTCATGTTTGTGCATGAATAATATATAATTAATTAAAATTAATTGTCCCCACCCCCACGCGACCCACCCACCCACCCACCCACCCACAAAAAAATGTCCAGAAATTAAAAACAGAAAATCCAACCCCCACCCACCCCACCCCACCCCACCCCACTTTCCAAAAAAATTTCAGAAAGTTAAAAAGGGAAAATCATACCCCCATCCCCACCCCCACCCCCGGATCCACATACCCCAACCCCTCACCCCTACCTTTGCCTCCCCAATTTTTTTTAAAAAATTAAAAATTGGAGATTACACTCGCCCCCACTCCCATTTCAGAAGATTTTCAACTGTGACTAAATTTGTATTCAATGTGACTAATTGTGACCAAAATTGTATTCAATGTGACTAATTGTGACAAATTGTGACTAATTGTGACCAAATCAATGTGACTAATTGTGACCATATGTGATCAAGTCACAATCAATCACAATTAACAAGTCACAATCGGTCACAACCGATCACATATGGTCACAACCAGTCACAATAAACACATTTCGTCACAAGTTATAAAATTTATCCCCTATTTTTGAGTTGTAATCTTGAAAAGAAAAATTGATGATGAATCTCAATTGATGAATGCTTTGTCATGGCTAGGAGACTTCTAAGTAGAGACACTGGAGCATTTGGAATGCATTCAATAAGACCACCAGAAATTTAAGTTAGTATTAAGAATCTCACGTTAAATAAATTTCACTTGATCAACAAATGCACATCGGGCGCATAAGTGCCATACAATCCGAGCGAAAAAAAAAAAAAAAAGAAGAACAAAAACTGCTCAAAGTAAATTGTTCTTATAATGCATCTGAAACTATTTCATATACATAAATCTAGAGTCCCAACACGAAAACTGGATGCATTTAAGACTGATTTATCTCTGTCGTCATCATCGGAAGCACCATAAATCCACCACCAACCAATCAGCACAAAAATCACCTCAAAATCACCGCCACCACCACCTCCTCCTCCGCAAATCCATTGATGAAGAAGAAGGAAATTGATATGATCGTTGCGGAAGAGGCAAAACCAGGGCATTTGATTTATATGGAAAATTTATATGAGGCCAAATTGCAAATCTACGATGATCTAACATTTGGACAATTGAATAGAATTTGGGTGTAGAACACTTTAGCTCGATTGGACAGGCCTATGCAAG